TACTCTTTCCTATTTTGCTCACTAAACTTTACTCTCCTATTTTACTCATCGTACTTTCAATTTTTTTTATTTTGCTCACTAAACTTTACAGATTGAATCATTTTTCTCACTCTGTCGTTAACTTTCTAATAGTATTATGACGTGGCACAGTAATCAAAACGATGTCGTTTTGAAAAACTCAAATATACTCTAAATTACGTCGTCTTGGTGAGTACAATATGAGAGAGAATAAAGTCCAATGATTCATGGTGTAATTTACTCTTTTTTCCTTATTTTCTTCATTTCTCTCCACCGACCACTACATCATTTTCATTATGGCCACCGTCGATCGCCGTAGATGGTGGTTGTTCGATCCTAAATTTCATGGGTCGGTTCGTCTTGACCCCCCTGAGTCCGAATCTGCTGGTTGTCTCATCGGAACATGTCCAAAAACCCGTAATTTGGACTAAAACATTTTGATTTTCTCACTTTCAATCTCAAATTTGTGGACTTTGAAGCAAATTCCGACAAAATTGTGGTCGGATTCGGACTCAAGGTGTCGATGTAAAGCGACCCATCCCATTTTGGGACCAAACGACCACCATTTATGACGGTCGACGGTGGCATCCTTCCACCTTTTGTTTTTATTTTATTTTTTAATTATTTTATGCGAAATAATAATAATAAATGCAACATCATCAGTTGTTAGAGAGAAAATGATCGAGCGAGCAAAATGATTTGATTGTAAAGTTCAGTGAGCAAAATAGAAAAATTGAAAGTACAGTGAGAAAAATAAGAGAAAGAATATGGTTCAATTAGGAATGATGTAATTTACCCTATTTATAAATACATGAATTCACACTACTGATTTTTACTCATCCGTTACTTATGATATTGAGATGAGTTCAGATTGATCGTTTTTTCAATTGATTCTTGATTTTTCAGTACTAATTTTAATTTTTTGAATTCTTTTATTTTATTTACACAAACTGTTTTTAATTTGTAATTTTTTTAGCATTGTTTGGTAAAATTTCCTAGTATTTTTTATAATAAATATTAAAAAACAATATTATATATATATATATAATATTATCTTTAAGTAAGTTTCACTATTTTTTTTGGGTAATACTGCTAAGATGAGCTCCATTTAGAGCTTCAAGATCGTTCAGCAAAAGACTTTCCACCTCCCTCGGTGCAGACTGGTAGTGCACAACCAATCGGTTTTCCCCTTGCTAAACTAGCCAGCTTGTCCACAACACAATTGGCCTCACGAAATACATGGCTAATCCTGATTTGCCACTCTCGATTATGCAATTTCCTCCTAATCAGCTTTAGAATCGAGCTTCCCTCTTGGGGTCGCTATTTTCAGCAAGGAGTTCCACTGCTTTCGCACAGTCTGTTTCCACCATTACTTTCCTAAATCCAAGTTCCCAAGCATATTGCAGCACATCATGGATAGCCCACAACTCGGCATTAAGAACCGAACAAATGCCAATACTACGAGCAAAACCAAAGATCCATGCACCCTGAGCATCGCGAATTACACCCCCAGATGCCGCCATGTTTCCTAACCCACCAACAGCACCATCCGCATTTGCTATAACCCAGTCCCCCATCGGTCTCTGCCACCTCGTTATCTCTATAGCTCTCACTCAGCTTGGATCCTGGTTCAAAGCAGTAGCCACGACTTCCTCCTTCAGACGTAAACATTGCACATCAAATCCTCATGCTCAATAAAGCCGGTTGAAAAACAATAGAGCACCTTCTTTTCCATAGCCTTCAACAAACAATCGCAAAAAGCAGGTTCCAGTGAATCATCAATCGCAAAATGCATTTGATTTGTCAAGTTGGCCATGAGCCAAGCAGAATCGGTCATTGACATAAACATATCAATCTTCTCTGATTTAATAAACTTCTTCCACATCACCGACGAAGAGGGACACCTTCGAAGTACATGCTCCATATCCTCCACATCGTGACCACAAAGAGGACATCGGGCACTAGGAGCAATATGACGCCTGAACCTTTCTTCATTTGTCATTAATCGTCCATGGAACACAAGCCACAAAACTTTAATTCTTTGTGGCACCTTAGTTCCCCATATCACCTGCCAATCTTTTGCGGAATCATTCTGATCCAATATGGCGTATCACTTCCTAGAGCCGGCTGAGGAGGGTAGATGGCTACAATCCGATTACAAAATATTATCTTTTACTATAAAATAATATTAATTATAAATAAATAAATTTGATTTGATTTGATAACCAGACCTTTTAACTTGTGAACCATAAACCGTGTGAAACCCACGGTTTAGCTCGATTTAGATTTCTCAATTTGTTTTGAACAACCCCACTTATAATTTGTTATAATACTATTTTTTATTAACTCATTACATATAAAATATTAATTTTTAAGAGAATAATTTAACAACAAAAATAATAATATTATCTAATCGAACTAAATTCTCAATTTCTTTCTGTAACGACCCGAAACCTAAATTAGAAGTTCGGGTCAACCCGAGACCCATAGTTGGAGCCCAAGGACCTATTATAACAGCTTAGACCAAGTTTAATTGGAATTGGGCTGAGTTGGGCCCAAACGAATTCATGAAAGGTGATGAAAATTTATGAATTAGGAAGTTCAAGGACCAAAAATGAAATTTTCCCCTTGAGGTTTTGAAAGATGAAAACCCTCCTTTTATAATCAGATTTCACGTAAATTAACCCCTAAAAATCTCACCAAACCTCCTCCTTCTTCCTTCCATCATTTTCCATTCCTTTTCCCTTTAAAAGTCTAGTTTCCAAGCATTTCCATTCTAGTTTGGCTTAGGTAAGGTAAGATTTATAATTCTTATCATCCTAACTTCAATTATCCATTTCTCTAGTTTTTAGTCATGGAACCAAAAATGAGCTTTAAGGGGTTTATGAGAATCTCTAGATTCTAGCCATTTTTAGTAAGATTCAAGTCATAAAATAATTTTAAACCCCAATCCAAAATATTATTTGAGATAGTAACCCTTTTACTTACCCTTGTTTAGAGAAGGAAGTGTGAGAGAGCTCAAATGCAAGGGGGGAAAATTGACACTTGGTTGAATTGGAGAGGTTCTAGCAGCCTAAGAAATAAGGTATCCACACTTGCAACTCTTTCATACTCTTTGTGGGTCTTTAGAAATTTAACATTTTCAGCACCCAATTGCTCACAAAGCCTGTTGCTGTCTGTGTATTTCTAAATATTGCAGAGGTTCCAAGTAAAATATATCAACCTTCTATGGAAACTCAAGTGCGTCCATGGCCATCAATGCCAGTCTCACATGAAACACTTCATTCAATGCCAAAACCAGACACTCATTGCAGAAATAAAATTGTCCGCATTGAAGCTACAAAACTGAGTTGGGGGATCTTCCGTTGCCATCCAGTATGATTTCAAATAAATCAGCCTCGGATTCCTCATCGAAATCCATCGTGGGATAATTACTCCCGTTGTTGTTGTGGCTGCCTTTAGTTGTGCATCTGTTAAGCCATTGGGAGTCGATTCTTCCCATTGAAAAAAGCTCTTTACTGTCTTCATAGCCCAGAGCGGCCGCAGGGGAGTTTACAAGGGGCCAATGAAACATGGATTTGGCGTCCGTTGTCCATTTGCCGGTGCATATGCAAAGGCACTTTGTCCAAAATTAACTAGAACCGTTACATCATCGTTTGCTGCAAGAGTTGGATAAAGGGGAGTTCCGAATTCCTCAGACTTGCAATTTATTACACGTACCAGCTCCGAATCTAATGTGAAGAACACTTTCTTTTGCCTGGGATCGAACCCGCAACCTATCACCTTCTCTGTCTTCCCCCACTCTTCTTTCTTGGATTCAAACACTAGTTTAATCCCTAGAATATGAGAACCAGATGCTTATCAAAACTCGAGAATTAAAACAACACGAAACAAACAAGAGGAAAGAAGTTGGATAAAGGAGCGAGTGGCATATGACTAGAAAGTTGAACCACTTAGCCTAAAGTTTTATAATTACAGATCATACAGCAGTAACAATAAATTAGAGGAAAATGCTGCATCTTTTTTTGGGTCAGTAGCTTACACCTACCCAACAGTGACGAATCTAAAAATTTAAGAATAAGAATCTAAAATTTTAATTTTTTAAAAAAAATAATGGATATGCAAAATTTATAATTTTTTTTCTTTTTTACTTAACACGTTAAGTTAAATTTAATCACTTCTTTCAAATAATGGATGCACTTGGCCATGGGCTTAGTGCATCCGCCACTGCCAATACACTGAAGGGTGGCACTATTGACGTATAGTAATTCATTCATGACCCTGTGGCAGTGGGCCTTTTCTCAACCACTTCAGGGTCAGGCTAATTTGGAGACCTTTTAGTTGAGAGATTTGTTCCGTTCACTGGTGGACGGTTGCCACATTTTGTTATTGCTAAACACAAGAGTCTAGCTTCTGAACTACTATTATATTTGCAGATGGAGTGTGCTTAATCTCCATAAACATTAAAAAATGGGTTTCTAATGTAGGAAAAAAAGTGTATATTGAAAATTAATTACCATCGAGATAGACAGAACCATCGGAATTGAAACCAATGGATCCTGGATAGCTACCAGGAAGCTTCAAAGGAAGAGAGCCTCCTGCAGTCAGTCCCACCGATAGCATTACTGTTTCACCCTTTCCGTCATCTTTAATTGCAAGCTTTAATTCCTCGATCGTATTAATATCATGACTGCTGATAGCATGGACCAAAGATTCTGAACTTGCTTTCGGATTTGAATTTTCTTTGATGAGTTTTATCTTCTCGTCTTCTCTTAGCTTGCCGCTTGGACTTGAATCATGATCATCTCGGCGGCAATACAGAATCGTGATCTCGAAATAGGCATCTTGAGGGAAAACTGAGCTTCCCAAAGGAGGCCCTGGCAAGGGCAGAGCTGTTCTGATAACAGATGCTGCCTCCATGGAATGATGGCCTAGACTCCCTTTCTTTGACCCAGAGCTGAGCCTGATCTTTTGCATGAAATCTGATGATCCTTGGCAACTTCCCAGTTCACCTCTACATCGTTTCCTCTTCCAAAATCACCAGCCGCACATAATCCTAACAGGCTTGATCGTGTAGAAGGAGACGACATGTAATTCGTGAAGCCAAATCGAGACCATATGTTCTCAACTGCATCGGTGACGAGAGATGGATGATCAGCCCAATTAAACAAAGGTTTTGTCGAAACCCCGTGTCGAAAAACATAGTAATTCCCCCTTCTCTTGCTATCTAAATCAATCTGATGATGATGATGCAGACTCGCCTGGTTTAGTCTAGCAATCCCGTCTTGAAAATTTTTAGTCCCAACGGCTCTGTTGTCGTCAACAATATCTTTACGGTAACACCAGCGACGCATAAACACAACCAAAAGGATCAAAAGGATAACGACGACCACCGCTGCTACCGCCACACGAGTCCATTCAGGCATCGCTCTTCTAGTATTTTCTTTGCCTATATAAATTTTCAAATACAAATAAAGAGTTTATCTTTTTCCCTGAAAAATGTATCAGGGGAGAAAAGGGAGATGATTGATAAAGAGATAGAAAGGTCAAGGGAAGAGTGGACCAAGACTGGATCAAGAAAGGTAAGCAAATATGGTAAAATAGTAAAGGAGAGCGAACCAGTTCGTGGGGGATTTGGGCAATTAACGTTTTTTTCTTCTTCTTTATTTATGGTCCATTCTTTATTTAATGTGAACCGACAATCCTTCTTCATTAAAAACGCGTTTATTAATTCATTTCCCTTTTATCTTCTGGGTTTTCAAAGGAGAGAGAAAGAGGAGATGATGCCTACTTATTGTTTGTTTGTGAAATCGCAATCCCTTCTAGAAAACCAAGAATTACAAGCCTGGCCACCGAGGGCACTTTCATTGTTACGATTGAACATTTGGGAGTCGAGCAAATGCCAAAGCAGGGGAGAGACACTGTAGGAAAAAAGTTTTAAAAGAGTGAGCACAAGCTAAGGAACAGGGTTTTATTGTACTGCGTGCTGGTCGTTTCACGGTCAATTTCATGTAAAAATTACTCGATATGATTTGAGGAAGAAAACACGGGAACTTCTGTTGTGCGATATTTAAAAAAAAAATTAAAATTAAAAATGATATAATCTGTTAAATAAGTAATTGATTAAAATTTAGATTAATTATATTATATCATTTAACTAAAATATTGTCAAGTACAATAATATATTAAGTAGCGTTTATTGACCTATTTTTTTAACTAAACATGTATATTATCGGTTTTGATGTTTTTAGGATTGATATAATTTTAAATGTATCGATACTTTATGCGTATGCCTCGTTGTGCTTTCATTTTAGGAAAAAAGTCTCGACACATATTTAAAGAGTATCGATACATAATGTAAACTATTTGTTAATTAACCAGTATATTTTTACCAGTTACATTGTAAATTTACCTGTTACATAATAATTATTTATTTCGATATTTTTTGGATCAATATTTTTCATAAATGCATCGACATTTATGCGTACACCAATTTGAGTTCTTCAATCAACAGTTTCAATGACACAAAATCCTAACCAAAAAATAAAATTAAAATTGACCTAACTTTATCCTATGGAGATAATAAGAGTATATCATAAGTTTGCGTTGAGAGATGTCTGTTTCTGGGTTTTTGTTCTTTGAGAAATTGATAACATGGTGGGTTTCCCAATGTTATTCTTTTGTTACTGCAAAGTTTTTGTTCTTTTCTTACTGAATTTTGCTTAAAATATCCAACTTTTTATATTAAAAAATAAAAATTCTGAAATAAAAATGACCACAAACACACTTTTTTACTACCGGTTTTGTCATTTTGAGATCGATTTTGTCATATTTGTACATGATATATTGTTATGGATCGATACATTTTTATAAAGTATCGACACTGTATTAGCGCTATAACTTCTTCTCTTTTAAATTCCAAAAGTGTCGATACTTATAATAAAGTATCGACACTATCAACATATCTGGTAGTGCTTTACCTGTTTTGTCATTTATAAACCGGTTTGTCATTTGTTTACCTGTTATATTGTTATTGATCGATACAGTTTTATAAAGTATCGACACTTTCAATATATCCGGTAGCGTTTTACCTGTTTTGTCATTTATAGACCGGTTTTGTCATTTTTTACATGTTATATTGTTATAGATCAATATATTTTATAAAGTATCGACACAAACCGACAAGCTAAATTTGCCGGTTGCCAAATTTTTTAATATTTCTTCATGATTTCTATCTATTACATTATTATTACTCGATATTTCCGATAGCGCTAAATTAAATTTATCAAATATCTTTTAATGTATCTAATAATATCATATATTAATCGTATTTTAATCCACTTTTATGAGACAACCCACAAAATACATGTATTTGCACATTAAAAATTTGTCTCATTTAAGGCATTGTCTCTGGCCTCGGAAAAACAAAAGGCTATCCCCATGGTGGGGGCACTGGATTCTTGTATTGGTCTTGATGTTTGAAGTTGAGGGTGGGGATTTGTTTTAGGTACCTTTAGGTGTCTATGTAGGACCCTGTATCTGTTAATCATTGGTATTGATAACTAGTAATATTGGAAATAAAGTTTTTTTTTTCGATTAGACATTGGAAAAAGTGTTTTTTTAAGGGTGTTCCCGATTGTGTATGATTTCCCTGTCAAATTATAATATAGTTAGAATGTTTTTGAGAAAATTGATATCTGTTAAGGAATTGAATTTTGAAGGAATTTGAATTTGAATCTGATACATGTTTAGTCGATAGGAAATTGAATTGAAATTTAATTTTATATTCTGTTTGGTTCGTAGATATGTCAGATAAATTTGATTTCATTAATATAAAATGATAGAATTATTCTTCTTATTTTTTTACTTAATTTTAGTTTGTTTTATAACTTACATGTAATAATATATTATAAAATTTTAAAAATATTAAAATTTTCATTTTATTGATTGATTATTCATTTTAAATAAATTATAAAAACATACTAATAAACATCATAAGTTAAAATCATCCCAATTAGGGATGACCATGGGTCGGGTTGGGTAAGGTTTTGGTCCACCCGACCCGACCCGAGAACAAGGAAACCTCCACCCGAGATCCGACCCGACCAAAATAAAGTTTTACCTGACCCGACATGAATATATGAATTAGAAACCCGACCCGAAATAATAATAAATATTTTATTCAATAAAAACAGTGGCTTAATTGAAAAAAATTATATATAAAGGAGTATTATTGTAATTATTTCTAAATATATAAGGTAAAATTATATTTTTTTCGGGTTGGGTCGGGTATTTTTCACCCTAAACCCGAACACGACCCGAATATCACACTTTAAAAAACCTGACCCGACCCGACCCAATTTTTTTTAAAAAAATCCGACCCGATCCTGAATTTTTTTTTAAAATACACGACCAGACCCGAATATCACACTTTAAAAAAACCGACCCGACCCGAATATCAAACTTAAAAAAATTCGACCCGACCCGACCTCGAATTATTTTTTAAAAAATCCGACCCGAATACGTAAAGATTGATGATGGTAGTATGATCAAATTTTACATTCCTTCCTCCAAAAGATTTTAATTCCATCATGTTATGGATGTAATGTACTTTCACTCCCTTGATGAAATTGGATTCTAATTCTCTCTTTAAAAACTTGAACCAAACATGAAAAATGGTATAATTGGATTTCAATTCCCCTAATTTCAATAGATTCCAACAAACCAAACGTAACTTAAGTGTAGTGGGAGGCCTCCATTTTCTTGCAAACCCATTAAAACGCAAGAAAATGAAAAACAACAAATGAGAAATATATGTTGACCTTTTTGTAACTATCCTATTTAAAAGAGCGAAAATACTATTTTTAGTTTAATTTAATGTCATCAATTTTGGGCATCCATTAACCAAACACAAAGGTCTTTCATAAGACCTCAAACCACCAACCTCATAAGTAGGAATGGGATGGGATTCTATCTTAACATCTTTCGATCCAATTTAATTTTATAAGATTTGATTTTTTTTTATGAAAAAAATTAAATTTGAGTCGGATTAGATACTTTTAAAAAGATAAGATAGATTTGATCGAATTTAAATTTAAAATAAAATTTTTTGATTTAATGATTTAATATAATAATATAATTATCTTTTATATATTTAAAAATAATTATAATAATACATCTCTATATTTTTTTTAACTAAGTTCTTATTCTATTTAATAAAAACGAGAATACTAAATATTTGTATTGAGTTGAGTTACGTCAAATCAATTGCAAGTTTTATCCCTAGATAGGATCACATGAAAGTGGGTAGTTCTGCGGTGCGGCGCCTAAAAAACGGCTAATATACGGCGTGACCGGTTAAACAAGTAACCGGTTAAAATTTAGACCGGTTATGTTATATTATTTAACCGAAAATATTATAAAGTACAATAACATACTAGGTAGCGCTTATATAATGTAATAGGTAGCGCTTATATTTACCTATTTTATAAGTAAACCGGTATATTTATACCGATAGCATTGCAAATTTACCTATTACATTATATATTGAAAGTGTCTATACTTTTTATAAAAAGGATCGATACTTTAACAGTGTTTCATGTTTTCCACCTACAATATTAATTTAATAATTTCATTTGCACAAAAATTATTTGATTGTTTTGATATTTTATAAAATAATATTAGAATTTTTAATTTAATAATAATATATATCGTAACGTAAAAAATAAATCATTAGACGCCTATAATTACTAAATTAATATCTTAAAACTCACTCAAAAGATAACCTTAAATTAATGTTTTCCACAGTGAAAAAAGTATGGACACTTTTATAAAAAGGATAGACACTTTACAATATAACCACTACCTATTACATTATATAAACGATACCTATTACATTATATAAGGGCTACCTATTACATCATATGTTTACCTATTATATTGAAAGTGTCCATACTTTTATAAAAGGATCGATACTTTTTTTAAAAGTTATGTAATTTATGTTTCAATTTTTTTAACAGTGTTTCATGTTTTCCATCTACAATATTAATTTAATAATTTCATTTGCACAAAAATTATTTGATTGTTTTATATTTTATAAAATAATATTTAGAATTTTTAATTTAATAATATATATCGTAACGTAAGAAATAAATCATTAGACGCCTATAATTACTAAATTAATATCTTAAAACTCACTCAAAGGATACCTTAAGAACACTTGAAGAAGCAAGAGAACAACTATCCAAGCAATCAAAAACGAGAAAATCCCAACATGATAACAACTGAACATATCATATCAATGTTCAAACTCAAGTTGTAGATTTTGATTTCCTTTTGCTTGGCATCATATGAGATTTGGATTTTGATTTCTTTTTGCTTGGCACCATATGAGCTTTAGATTTTGATGAGCATCGGAAGTATTTCAGACTTATGATTTGGGTGGTACTCAACTTATGATTTTAGTTGCTATTTGTTACATTTCTTGTATACCACCCAGATCATACGCCCGAAACGTTTCTGACGCTTTAAAGTTGACCAAAAAATAAAATGGTCGGGATTTCCCTCGCGTTTATACGTTGGAAAAAAAACAATGGA